GTTTTGTGCTGTGTAACAGCGTTACAAAACGCATATTGTCACGGGGTTGTCTGTGTGTGTGTGTGTCCGCAGCAACTTGTTCCAACTTATTACTCACTTACATTGGTTGATATAACTCAGCGAAAAGTAGAGCCTTTGTCATGCATGAGGTCGAGAATTCGATTCCAACAGAAGAACAGTTCGTACATTCGTTTTGATGGTAAATTGGTATTGGCATATGTCCAGAAGACAAAACCGCCACTAACTCTCGTTTGAGGAAGTCCTCGGTTAGCTTTACCAACGAGTGGTCGCACTTGCTCTCCCCGAGACACTTCCAAGTACCTCCACTTCTGATAGCGATTATTGGAGGGGTTTTTTAACTGTAACTTTTAACTAGCACATAAAAATGTCCATTGATTATCAGCAAAGCAAGTAACTTACTTTTTTTTATTTTCCCGCAGCCATTCATCATAATGGAATGTCTGTGATTGTTCATGTGCTCCCGCAAAGCTAGAGCAAACATCCTTTCGTTCTGCCGTTTTCTCCGCCATAAAGAGCACTTTTTTTTTGTTCTCACCAGCCGCTGTGGTAAAAATTTAATTTGATTTTGATCAAAAAATTATCGCATTCCTTTCCGCTATCTTCTCCTCTCTTTTGAGCTTTTCGTATTCACCGCAAAAAAGTGGGATTTTTCCCTGTCCTTGATGTATTCTTCCAACATTGACCGACTGCCATTTAATAATATTTTGCCCATTTTTAACTTTCAAAATTTAACCATTAAGCAAAAAAAAATACCTGAAACTTGACCAGTGGCTGCACATTTTTGCATACATCCGTGTAAAACTAGGAAGGGCCATCGGTAGCAGTTTCGAAAATTCAAAAAACATTCAAAAAACTAAATTTCTAAACGAAACCATGAACATGTTTATGTGCATTCCTGTAAACGAGGACAAGTCGACGAGGAGGAGCAGCTTTAAAAATTCAAAAAACTTTAAAAAGACTAAATTTCTAAAACAACAAAAAACTAAACCATCAACCTGATTCAAAGTCTGGGAAAGTAATTTCATTGCAGTTTGCAATATCAAACGAAAATCCGGTGACAATTATTGTGAAGAATCTAAGACGGGCATTACCATCAATTACAACATTATCACTGCTTGGCATCCAGGACGGCAATGGAACAGTTTTGAATTTTGCAAATCGCAAAAAAACGGATTGGTCGGAGATCTGGCAAGAAGTTCGCAATTTGAATATCATTCTGCATCCCAAAAAACTTTTCTTTTGATTTGAATATTTGTAAAGTTTTGGAAAGGATCAGCACAAGTATCACATGCAAAAAGACATGTTCGGATGCAGTCTCTATGTTTCATCCCTTAGCTGTAAACACGGACTGAACGCAGCATGCGGTTGAGAGTGAAAGTCATCAGTACATTCTCTTGCCGGCTACTTATATGACAAGAGTGACTCAAATTGCATAAGACTAGATTAGAAAGAAGATGAGCGGAAAGAAGAGAAAAAAGATGTGAAAAAGGAGGAAGTGAGTGTCGTGAACGGAATCTTTTCTCCAAAAATCTTTCTGCAAAAGGAGGGAATCGAACCACTTTCACATCCGAACACAGTATTTTGCCACTACACCACCGGTCCTTGTGCTCCAAATTTTGCCTGTCATCACATCTATTGTGTATTTGCCTTTCAACACGTAACGCTTTGTTTTGTCTTTGTGAGGGCTTCTTGGCTCGTTTTTCGAGAGTTTTTCGCGACAAAAATGTGAAGAAAGGGGAAAAGAGGGAGAATATATGATGGATGTGTTTTTGTGAATAAAGCATTGTGTTGGAACTCTTCAGCAGCAATAAGGATAGATGTCTGTGGGGTTGTACACGTAATATTGTTGACTCTGTTTTCAGGGTGCCGATTTTGCGTTGCGTGGGAAGAGTTTTGCAGTTTTCAAATATACTTTAGATGCTCCCAAGGATCGTTCTGTTATGCGTGACAGTTTACTAATCGAAACAGATTTTGAAAATGCGTAGGTTTTCTTTCTCCTGTGAAATGTATGCATTTATTAGTTGCTGAGAGTCATAGCACACTTTTTGTCCAGTAGCATTGTTTTGATGGTAAAAATGGATGTTTTATTTTCATCTAGGAAGATATTCAATTCTTTCCACGATTCGTTCATTTTGTTTGATGGTGAATTGGTACCGGCATATGATAAGGAGACAAACTGTTGCTTCTAAGCAACACTTGAGAAACAGAGTCATTGACGGTCTAACCAACGAGTATTTTTTAATGAGATCGTAGTACTGTTCGGGCTACTTCCGTGTGCCTTCGTTTCTTGTAAAGAGTGATTATGAAGGAAATCTTGATTTTTAATTTGAATTTTTTTCCGCGGACAGAATCGTTATTTATAAAATAGCGCCTGCAGTTGGGATGTTAACTTTTTGGAAGGGTAGAAAAAAGGCAAAAAAAAGGTATATCTTGTTCTTGAGGTTACCTAAATCGCTTAATCTATCCTTCTTTTTTTTTAATTTGAATAGTTATAAATTGAATTTGCATGTTTGTTATTTTACCAATATTTTCAGATCATTCCCGGTGATTTATGAAATCGGTAAAGGTGCGGCGGTTACAGTTCCCGACCACCTTGTTTTCAACAATGCGTTTCCTTGGCGGATTAGTTCACATAGCTTAAAGGTACATACATTTTGAATAGAATTTTTTGAAAAAATTTTAACATGTTTTTTGAAAAAAAATTTTTTTTGAAAAAATTCAATGAATGTGAGCATTTTTATATTTTATACATATCATCGTGTGTATAAAATATAAAAATATATAAGAATTAATCATCGGAACAGGGATTTTTAGATCCATCAAGTCGCATACATTCCTGTTCAGCACCACAACTGGATCTCGTCAGTACGACGGCTACTGTGTTGTTTTGTTAAGAATTGTAATGTAAAACCGATATTTTTGCTTCATTCAAACACTTTCACCCAGTTTTTTTCAGGTATTCAGTACTTTCAAAGAAGATATGGAAGTGCTGCGTATGTCATCATTATCCGCTGATGGTCAGGTATTTTTCGAGTGGCCTGATCGGGTAAATGGCCCGGTAATCCGAGCTGGAACATTGTCGGATCTCGGCCGTGTGCACTTCGTACCAAGCGCCAATTGTACCGATGATTGCTACGTTGGTAATACCACTTTTTCACGTTATTATTTTTGTCTTGACTACGAATTTGGCATAATTTAGAAACGCAGAACCTAAAAAATCTTGGAGCTGTCAATTCATAGTTTTGGTTTTCCAGTTGTGCAGATGTTAGTTGTCCACTTGCTTTGACCAATGTTGCATCGTCTGATGTTCAGCTTCCCGGGAACCCGTCCATTCTTTTGGTCTCATGAAGGAATCACCGGTTTGGGGTTCTTCTGGCAACAGCATTTGGCACGACTTTAGCCATTTCACCGTATCCTTGATATGTGCTGAGCAGGGCCATTCATTCCGAACAAAGGCTGGTTTAGGGATGAGGGGAAGGGACGGGAGGTGGGGAGGGAAGAGGGACGAAGGGTTTTTGGCCTTTACTGCAAAAGCCCGTGTCTGTTCATAAATAAAACTAAAGTAACTCTAAGTAGTAGTGTTACAACTCTATTCCTAGTTTTTGCATAGTTCCAAGGGAGTAGGAGGGAGCTCTCCCCCCGCTCCCAGGAGTCCGTCCTGGATCCGCTTATGGTTTCGAATATTAATACTTTTAAGCCACAGTTTGATAACTTAGCGATTGTATTATTACTATTATTATCATTACTGTTGTTACTATTATTGTTATTGTCATTAACACTACCGTTGTTATCATTATTAATTAGTTATAATTACTGTTATTGTTAACATTATTGTTATTATTATTATCATTAAGCATTTACTAAGGTATGCCGCTGCACACGGCCGATGGACAGTGGTTTACGTATGGTATGAAATTACCGCAAAATTTGGCCGAAATCGATTCCTACTTATACAATAGGTTTGACTTTTACTCAAAAAATGTTTGATTTCCAGTAAATTTATTTCAAAATTTTGCACATGAAATTTTTTTTTCTCAAAAATAACGGCGGATCTTTAAAATCAAAGGGTTTGGAGTAGGGATAAACCTGGTATGCGAAACATCCCAGTAAAATCACTAAAATGTGATAAACACACCGTTTTTTCTGATAGCCCTGGTATTTCATCATTTTTTAACTTTACAGTTGAGGGTTCCATCTTTTCAAGATATTTTCAGATTGCGAAGGAGATTTTTGGCGTTGCGAGCTGAAGGTAAAAATTACATAAATGCAACGGTGGTCATCGAAACAGACAAGGTATTTGTAGTTGTAATTATTTTTTTTAGATATGCTGACGCATTTGTGCTTCACCCCTCTCATACCTCCTAAATTTTTCACTCCAAAAATGTCATACTGACGCGGTCCTGTTGTGGTGCTGGACGAAAAATGTTCAGGACTTGATGAAGCTAAAGTCTTGTTTTACCATTTTTTTAGCATACTCAGCGCTTTTTTCTTTCTTTTCCCTCTCTACTCCGCCCCATCCCCTCCCCCTCCCTCCCCTAGCTCGTCTAGTTAAGGCACTATATTCCGATTCCCCCCGTGGATCAGATTAAAACCGATTGGGCGCTAGAATCGCCCCGCGGCCCACCGGTTGCCCACGTATGCCTTAGTTGTTTCGGGATATCCCCGGTGCTTTTATTTTCGCTTTGCCGTATTTTCTTAAAATATAAGTGACTAATATACAGACCTGAAAAGGTCGTGAGGTACAAATGCAGAGCACTGTCACTGATGAGAGCGGAAGAGCGA